ACGAGCCTGTCTTTGTGTAGTTTGCATGTTCTCCCTCAATAAGAGTCCTGTCCTTCGATTGATCTGCAGCTTGTCTGCAGGTGTTGGAAAATACCGGGCCTCTTCACTATAGCAGGGCAGGTTAAAGTCATGTATTCGACATGAGTGAGTCTCTACTTCTATTAAAAGGGAGCCCAGACTGTCTCTATTCATAGTGTAGCTCTAAGTGAAGGTTTTCTTTCTTGATTAAGCAATTCTGGCCTTTAAGATAAGTTAATACCTGCTAATGTGTTAATACATTGTGTATGTGTCTATATTGGATTTGTGTTTCTCTGTACTCCTACCACGTATTGCTGTGAGCTTTCAAGCTCGAGAGTATTACCACGAGTTGCGTGTGAGGCAGGTTACTCAGCCTGTCTGCAGCCATCCAGTGAACCTGCTCTGAAACTGTATACCTGTGCTGAAAAGAGGAGTCGCCATTTCAGCGCTGTCTGTTTGGATCAGTGTTCCCTGTGGCGCTATGCCCTCTTTGAGAGCTCCTCTGTTGGGGATCTATTCCCTGGCCCCTGACTCTTTCCCTCTGTTGACACAATGGGCCCTTTGTACCTACATATACCGTTGCTGTGGGACCTTGCTTCATATTTTCGTCAATTATACACAAGCCTGCTCTAGCCATGCCTCTTGTTGCTGCTTCATTGGAGAGAAATGCAATCGAATCGGGGAGAATTGCAGTGAAACGGGGATGCAGGAAGAGGCTTGCAGGAATTAGATTGTGGTGCTGATAAGTTCCATATAGAGCGAGTAAACATGTTCTTATCTTGTTATCCAGCTTGCACATTAACACATGGTGTGTGGAGGAGGTGGAGGAGGGCTTAAAAGGATAAATCAAATCCTAATCATTCTGTTTGGCTTTTCCCACTCTCTGCTCTTTGTCTCTATTTCTGTTTCTCATCGTGCAAAGAACCCTGGTGCACATGCAAGAACAATGGAGAGGTCAGAAGTACGAGCCATTTTCCTACACCTGCTGAATGCTCCAGAAATGAGTGCAGGGTGATTACGTGTCCTAATGTGTGGTGTTTAAAGAGCGGTTTCCTGCAGCAGAGTTAAATGATGGTGCCCTCTGTGAAGTATTAATGATGTGGATGGATGAATCAGGTCGGCACAAACCTGTTGACGGCGGCCGCGGCGCTCTCTTAAAGCTGCACCCAGACATCAGGCTTAACCGCTTGGCAAATTGGACATGCTTGTTGGCTGTAGCTCCAATTTATGTGCACTCTCTATTGCAGTTAGTCCATCTTCATTATTGAAATGGCCTCTCGTCAGGTCTTGACAGAGTGGTGGAGATGGTAAAGGGAGGGAGAGGGGGAGCATACGGGAGAATCATGAATAATGTGGAAAATAAACACATTCGAGGCATGGAGCTGGCTGGCAGGAGCGGTGTCGGGAGTGTTGTGAAATGCACAGCTTTCGTTTTCTCTCCCCTTTCTCTCTCTCTTCGTGTGATTGTATGTGCAGCTTCTGCCAGTGGATGCTGATGCTGTGGATCCTCAGCCTTGGGGCTTTGTCTAACACACATGCAATTGGGCATAAATACACACACATGCATCTACCCAGCTACACATCCACAAGCAGCTCTAGGCGCTGAGCTCTGGCAGGACCTCTGTAGCTTCACCAGCATCCCAGCTGTGTGTTTTGTCACTGCCACTCTGGAGACACACTGCTGGGTGGCTACAGCCTATGTCTAATAGGGTGCTGCAGTGACTTCACTTTTTCTGCGTTCCTGGGATTGTTGCATTTGATAAGTTCGGGCTTAGCTCATCTGGGTCAGCCAGTTCAGCAGGGGGTATCCAATTCCAATTCATGCTTTGTCAAAGGGGATGTTTTTATTGCCAGATGTAGAATTTCAATTTCTCAGTGTGCCAAACTGATACAAGATGACCTGAAAAAACATCTCTTAGCTCTGTAAATGCCATGTGCACTTAAGCCTCAGCTTTAGGAGTAATAGCGCTTCTCTATGAAGAGAAGAACGGGGTCTGGCTGGGTCTAGCTACAGGGTCCTTGTACCTGCTGCACACATGAGCAGATGTGATGGCTCATGAGATAATTACCCACTGAGCCGGTGTGTTTGCAACTGTAAGCTGAAGCAGGGGTTCCCTTCAGGTAGCTCTCCCGCTCAGGTCAGTGAACAGCTAATGACATTTAGAGGCAATAGGATGAAAGAGATGGCAGTTGTTTGTAGTCAGCCCCACACTACCTTTGTCTTATTGTCTGCCGTCTGTCTTAATCTCCCAGCCACCGTTTTCACACCACAAGGAGATCATGTTATTAGATCTCCTCCCCTGGCTCATTTGTCATCCTGCAGCACCACTCCTCCAGAGAAGAGCTGCAGGAGCTGAAAAAAGAAAACAATATAAACAGGCAGGAGGCCACAACATCAAATGTTCATCATTTACTGGCCCAGAGTCTCTCTGTATCATCATTATTCTTTCAGGAATCAGGTTAATATGCTTTTTCTTCTCTGTGCCACCCCACCCAATTTCAAAGGCTGACAAAACTTCAACCCCTCTTCTCTCTCCACCTTAACGTATTGTTTTGTATTACATTGTACCCAGTGCATGCATCCTGCTACACATACACTCAATCATTCCCACCCCCACTTTCACCATCACTCGCTACAGTAAAAAGTATTGTCAGTGTTCACAGTTTGCTGTCACCGCTAGTCACATCTCTTTAATCTGTCCTCTTTGAGCCGGGTTGGTTTTCATGCTGCCGAGGCACACAGAAGGGAGGGCGTCAGCTAATTACAATAAACAAATATGCTCAGAGCTGCCTATGTAAGGTTCGCATAGGTTAACAACTCTGCTATAAATGTTAAATGAAGCTTAAAATAGGATAGTATGGCATACAGTTGCCATAGTGATCTCAGCTGTGATTCTTTGTGTACTTTCTTGGTTGGTGAAGTTTAAATTAATCTTAGACACAAATCTGTGATACAGAGAAGAAATGAGTGATTGTTTCTTGCCCCAAGGGCTTCTTTGATGTCTTTATCATGTTTGGAGCTTTTTCTGTAATTACCTCAACTTTGCGTGTGTCTGTCTTTGTTATAATGAAATATAATGTACTGCTGTTAATGTTATTCTGCATGAGACACACGGCAGTCACCCTTTAACGATTCCTTCCATACTCACGTCTCTTTTTATTTCTCTCTGTCCTCTCTGTTTCTCTCTTTCAACAGGTGGGACAGTCAAAATGATGCGTAGGAGGTGAAGCGTTGAGCCGTATTGATGGATGTGTTAACAGACAGCAGTCTCACATTGATCGTGAAGACTTCAGAACCAGAGAATGCAAATGTAGTGGAGAACACAGGTAAAAACGATTCACTTCTTCTGAGATTTATAGCTCAACACACAATATTTATTAAATATAACTTATTTCTAAATGGGAATTGCACATAACATGTTAATTCTGCCTTCTTTGAACTCTGCTTTGAACATTTAGAGATACTTGGTTGTTGACCTAAGAAGAGAAATTCAAATTTTCCCAAGCATTTATTAGAATAAATGAAAGCCTAATGACAACAGTTTCTCTCACAACATCTTTAAAACTTTGAAAAGACAATTAGTATTACCACATACCACGGAACTAGATTTCTCGAATTAGCTTTTTCCCCCTCAGTTTTAAGCTCTTTGACGAAGACATGGGGAATGTGAAACACATCCTGTCGTTTTTAAATGAAAAGTGGAAAAGAAACATTAAATGAAGCTTTTTAAGCTATTGTTAATCCTCTTTCCCAATGTTTCCACAACTCAGGAATATGACATCTACCTTTTCTCATAAAAAGGTGCAAATGTGAAAGAGGGTACATCCATTAATTCTCTCACACTCATTCACATTCATCAGCATAAGCAAAAGAGGGTGTGTGTGTGTGTGTGTGTGTGTGTGTGTGTGTGTGTGTGTGTGTAAAATATCATTAATTCTAATTTACTTTGATTTTCTATTTAGTTTTTATTTTAGGTAGCTGCTGCCTCACTTTGAATTATCAGTGCCATAAACCATGCATTCTTGATATAAAACTTAATTCAAGTTAATCCAGGTATGTCTGCAGTTTAGTCCCTTTGTTTTTACTGGACTATAAGCCCCACTGATGTTATGCATTTTCCAAGACTCAGTCAGCCACTACTTGCTGCCCCCTAAAGTTTACCTCTGCCAAGCACCACTGATCCTTAGATGAGGTTTATCTTAGTGTTTCAGCTCTGGTCAGGCTCAGTGGGGACTGACCGGTCCCCACTGAGAGAATCACACAGATTATCCCCAACACTAGCCTGTTCCTTGAGAGGCACCAAGAGGAAAGGAGGAAGAGAACGAGGATAGAAAATGAGGGTAGGAAAAAAGAGCTGTAGAGGAAAGGGTGAAAGCAACTCCATTGAGCAGGAATAAGGCAGCTCTCTGAGGAGGATGGCCATGAATCATGCTGCAGTTACTCACCACTTATGAACATCTTGTACTGGCTGGATTGATTTCCCCCCGCCATTCACAAAATGTCATATAGTGAAGATGGAGCAATAGGTAGCAAGCGGCTTCTGTGGCTGGCCTACCAGCTGGATGAGTGAACGCCCCGGGTGGCTGAGCTGAAGAACGTCTAGCTCGGCATTTTACGAATGTAAAAGCCTCCTTATAACAGGGATAAGGAGCAGGGAAGTTGGAAGGGAAGGAGATAGCGAGGAGAAAGGGGAGGAAGAAGGGGGTGGAAAGGGGGGATGGGCGTGAGGAATGATTTCAAAAAGCCATTAAAAGGAAGAAAAGGCCATGTCAGCTGTTTTCATTTGCATTGTATTTCATATTGTGATATTTGAGCTATTTTTTCCCCTCGGCCACATGGAGCGGATGTATGAGTTTGATTCATGTTAATATCAGGGAAAGACGGCCGTATTATTCTTATATTTATTGTTTTTGCTCTGCTGATAAAGTAGACTATAAGCGAACAGAAACAAAGCATAGATACATGTGTGTGTATGTGCATGTGTGGCCTTGTGTGCATGTGTGGCATCTGACACACTAATAGATGAGGCCACAGACGCCAACTTGTCTCTCTCCTCATGTCCATGACCATGTCCCACGGCATGGGCTCGTCTCCCCGCAGAGCCGCCTGGCACACAGCAGTTCGGGCTTACCTCAGGTGGACGAAGCCCTGAATGTCATGGCTAGAAAGAGAGACGAGACTCGGAGAGCTCCGAGTGCTAACTGGTCTGGTCTGGTCTGGTCTAGTTTGGCGGTGGTCAGGCTGTCTAGCATGGCTGGGCTTGGCAGGGCTGAGGATCAGAAGATCACCACCTCCTGCCAGCAGCCGGGGTCCTTCCATATGCTCAGTGGTGATTGTCCATGCCAGCTTGCACGAGCTGTGTCACATCCAGCCTCAGTTTCAGTTCGAGGAGCCCTTCACCTGATAACACAATTACAAAACTACAGCTGTGTTAGGATCATATCAGAGTGTACGAAGCTTGTTTATTATTATTATATGAGCTACTCTTCCTGTAAGCTAGATATTAAATTCTGGCAGCAGTGAGTATTTTAGATGTTTATGTTGTTTACATTTGCCGGCTCAGATTCAGTAGTAACATTATGCTGTACCATCTCAGTGAATATGAGGCTGATGATCCCCCTTTGACCTCTAATGTCAAACTTGATTTGTCATCTACAGTCATCGCTGTGAGACCCCAGTGTGTGTGAGAGTGTGTGTGTGTTTGTGTACCTGTCTGACTGACTGATCTGTGGCACATTCTGAACAGCTGAAGAGCTAATGGTCCAGCTGGAGACAGATGGCCTCTCGATAACACTATACCCCCAAGCCAATACTCAGACTCTATCACTCTCCCTCTCATACACGCACACACACATGCATGAACACACACACACGCATGCATGCATACACACACTCTCTCTCACATATGCACACACACACACAAAACAGAAAAATCACATGCACGCACACTTTGGATAGGATAGATTGTTAATCCATTATAAACCCTGAGGAAACACATTTTTCAATATGAGTTTAATGTTTCACAGCAATTTTGAACAATCTTTTGGCAATATTAGGTGGCAGCTTAGGTTTCATGTGAGCACAGGGGGATAAAGGAAGTTAATTTCTTCCCTTTTTTATAATTTCCCTCTTTCTGTGGCTTTGCTTCTTTGTAGGGCTAATGAAAGAGATAAGTAATAATTTCTTTATATTTGCCTTATCTATGAGTGCTGGAAAATTACTTGGTAGATTTCAAGCACCGGCACTGTTTACATATAATTCCAAATAAATCCAAATGAATTGTGTCCACTGGGGAAAAACAATCATTGCTGTACTCCTATGCTCTTCTCTTTAGTATTTACTCCTGACATACATTGGAATGTGGCTCAAAATGTAATAGCAAATAAAAAGACTTACATTTAGATGAAAAGGAGATCTGTCCTGACTCTCCACAGAGAACATGTGTCAGTAACATGGTTTTGCTCTGAGGTCATTTTGGCTCACAGATTGAAGGGAACTGATGGCAAACGCCTCGCTGTGATGCTTCTGCAGCCTCTAACAAGTTGCTGCTATCACAGTTTTCTGACTCTGAGAGGAAGAGAGAAGATGCATTATTTCTCCTGAGGATTTCTTCATTAAGGATGACAGTAGCGCAGTTGTACGCTTTTAGTAGGCGTTGTGGTTGCTCCGATGTGTCTGCAGGCCGCAGACCCAGAGAGACCTGCTCTCACAAATTTCATTACCTCGTTAAATCACTCTCAAATCATATCCATATTCAAAGATTTACTCACCATCAATACAGCCATGTTGAATACTGTTTGTTGTGCAGTCTTCCCCTCAAGCACTTATCAGTACCTCAATAATGATTAGGCGCATCCATTCTAAAATGGGGGACGTTGCTAGTTAACCTCTGTGAACAAATTAATTTCTGCGGTATGTTTTTCAATTTTCTTTTTTTTTTTCTGGCATGATTTTTTTAAATATGTGCGAGGCAGCAGCTTGGGATTGTAGAGGGAGGCAGGTGTGGATGATATTGGTTATACAGTCTCCAACATATGGGCCTGTCGTGTCCCATGTGTACGTACCTGCCTCCGCTGCTGTCATCTAATTATGCAGAGCAAACAAAGCTATCTGCCTGCTGCTACAAACCCGCTTCTGTGGGTTTTGATTGTTACTCATCAGATGGATGTCTTCAACTGATTAAGACATTGTCACAATCGACCTGTAGAAAATCACCAAAACCTACTTTCAATTTAGTCATTACTGCTATTGTTGCTGTGTAATTTTGTGGTATCTTGTTACCTTAGAGCGAAGTTGGAATTGCGTCTATACAGATGAAATGGTAAAGGGAGGGGGAGGTAATGCAAGATGACTGCAATAATTTGGTCTCATATATTGCTCCAGGGTAGGCAAAGGAAGAGATATAATACCAAAGTATCAGTGTTATATATGATTATCATACAGTAGGTGAATCCTTAGCGAACATTATCTTCAGTAAGCCAATTAGTAACATTTTGGAGTGACTTTTCTAACTCTGTCCACGAATTCAAGCTTTATTTAACACAACATTTTGTAATTATTATTTCATGAAATAAATATTGCATAATTGCAGAAGTCTTTCCATTGATCACACACCCACTTTCAGGAATCTTCAAGAAAAAGGAGAGTTTTTGCTTTTGATGACATCACATCCCTTTAAGCATATGATAATAATTGCTCCTTTTGTTCTATTAAGTAGAACAACTGCATTTCTAGCAGCTCTTTATCACTATCACTTATGCCACCATTTAACATGAAGCAGGTGACTCAATTTGTGAATCACCTTCCTCTTGTTTTATGTGTTCTGAGAATTTGGCAGGATTTTTTTTTATGGCTGTGCTACTTCTTGCTTTGTCTAAACTTTTGAACATCAAGCAGTAATGTGTAAGAAGTTGTCCTTACCCAATATGACATCGTTAATACCATTTATTCAATCTAGTACCAAAACGCAGTTATTAATGTTTAAGGCTGGAATCATAAAATGACATTTTGAGCTCTAGGGGGTTAATTGACACAAATTGCATTTCAGCAGCCCAGAAGAAATGTCAGTGTAACTACAGAATAAAAACAATGTAATTTAACTTCAGACTTACAGTTGAAAGAGCTGAAATATTTTCTTTTCTTCCCTGCAGCAGTATGTGAGCAGAGTGGTGATCTGAGTCTGTGCGGGATCGTTGATCCTGCTCTCCCTCCATCCTCACCTCCTCCTGCTGCAGAGACTTCACAGGGGGCCTGCCCAACACACCAGAGGACCACGCCTACATCACCAACCCTCCCCCTCCCGCTTGGCACTGACTCCTCTCTGGGCCTGACAACGGCCCCCTGCCCTCCCTCCGATGACGCTCCAACTGTAGTCCCCCATCTTCACCACACTCCAACTCCCACATCCCTTCCCACCCCAGCTGTAAGTTCCTGGGGCCCAACAGCAGACACCCAGAAGCCATCCCTTCTGCTGCCTGTGGCCCTCCCTCTGTCGGCTACAATGATGGAGCCCAGCACTGTGTCTGCCCTGACAGAGGAGTGTCTTCTTCAGCCTACCCGCACCTGCCTCGGCTGCTTCATTGAGACCCGTGATGCTACTGACCCTCATTCCATCCAGAACCCGCCCCATGACCCTAACACCAACCCTGACACAGAAACTGGGCTAAGTGTAAGGATAGGGGACGTGAGCCGAGAGGACTTCTCTGACATCAACAACATCAGCATCCAGTGCCTGAGCCATGCGGGGGAGGCAGTGAGTCACTATGGAGAACAGCTCCTCTCTGACCAGCTACTTAGCTTTCCTCTGCCGAAAGCCCCATGTGAGGGCAAGAGAGTGGATGGAAACAAAACAACAGAGGACTGTGATGACCCAGAGGATGATGCAACAGCTAAGAATTTGTATGAGGGACTATTACTGGATAAAGTGAGCGGAGAGGAGGTTCTGCTGGCTAATGCTGGGCAGGACTGGGGCTACTTTGAATCCTTTATCAGTGAGAGTAAGATGGAACTGCTGGACCTTTGTTCTAAGAATGAACTGTCAGTCAACCTCTTCTCTGAGGAAGATGTTGACAATCTTTTTGATGATGAAGACGATGATTCAACTTTAAGCAGTGATGTCTGTTCGCTAAAGATTCGTTATGAGTCTTTCCAGGACAACATGAGGGAAAAAACAAATGTGCTCCAGGAGGAGACACAGTTCAACTTCTTCCCTAGTGTCCTGGCCAACTGTGCCAAGAAAGAGGAAGGAGCAGGAGTCTTGAGGAGGAGTGCTGAGGAGCTTCAGCCCAAAACTGATGAGCTCATCCTGGAGACAGGACAGGAAGGAAAGGCTGGGGACTGCAGTAGTAGGAGCCCACTTAATGGTTCCCAGGGCTCACCCATGTCCACTCCCAAAGTCAACTACCTAATGGACTTCAATTCCACAGAGGAGTCAGGCGAATTCAGTGATGACAGCTCCTGCACTGGCTCCTCCTCAGACACCCTGCAGGAGGGCAAGTTTAAGAAGGGCCACTCAAAGAGATTGCTCAGCCCCTCTAACCCTCTCAACTATGGTTTGCGCTCCAAGAGAAAAGTTCGATACAGTGATGATTACTTGTATGACGTTGACTCGCTCGAGAGTGAGAAGAATGCAGAGAAAAAAGAGAAACCTCCCTCTGGTCAAAAAGAGGAGGAGGATGTAGACTGGTGCCCCAAAAAACGTCGGAAATCCTGTCGTAAAGAGCCACCAGTGGTCATCAAGTACATCATCATAAACAGGTTCAAAGGAGAGAGACTCATGTCAGTGAAACTGGGCAAGTTGGACCCTGTGGATGCCACTGTGAGCTTAAACACAGACACAGTAAGCAAATATGAGACACTGGCTCCTCTGAAGGATTTCTGGCAGGAGAGGCAAAGAGAGAGACAAGAACAGCTTAAGCTGGCTGCCAGAGATAAACAACAACGCGGTTTTCATCTAAACGGACGCCATCATCGCCCTTTTAATTCTAGTCATCCCAAAAGGAAATACAAGATTGCAAACAGGCTTAAGGTTCAGAGGATTCACACTGTGGAGCAATCAGCAACAGCACAGGGCTCCCCTCTCTCTGATCAGGGCCAGGGAGGTGTCACTAAAGAAGAGGCCACCCCCACGGTAGGGGGAATAATAGCAGCCCCAGGCCTCCCAGTGACATTAGACACAAACTCCATCACGCACACAGTCACAGCCAAGAGCCGCTCCCAGGAGAGGGAGGAGAGGGAGGGGAGGAGATTGGGAGGAAATAAAACAGTCAGGATAAGGAAATTCAAAAGCGAAGCCAGGCTGAGGAGCAAGAAAATGAAAGAGGCAGAAGGAGAGGAGGGGAGGAGCGTGACAAATGAAACGGATGCCTGTGTCGCTGCAGCACAGATTGAGGACCCTACTGCTGGGTTAGAAGAGGCAGGCATTAGCTCAACTACAGTCAAACCCCATTTCTCTGACAATACTACCACCGTGCACACATCTGAGGAGAAATTCCCCTTTGTTTCGTCCACCTGCTCTCCTGACAAAGCTGCCTCCTCAGAGGAGGTGGAGGGGGGTGTCCCTGTCATCCCGGGGGGCTACCTGCAGACCCTGTTAGATGCTACAGACTCCTCTGGTGGAGCAGCTATCTCTTATTTCCCCCAGCAGCCCTCTAGGCAGCAGTATCCTCTGGGGCTATCCCTAGAAGAGAAACAGTTTTCTTCTCTGCAGCTCGCTCAGAGTTGCGTCCTCTCTCCTCCCTCTGAGTCAGAGCTCCAGCAGTCTCCCCAGAACTGCCCCAGCTTCCCCCAGATGTGGCATCCACAGCTCTGTGCAAGTCACAACCAGAGCTTTGGGCCTGAGACCCCCTGAGACTCCCATCTTACCCAACAACTTCCCAGCTGCTGTGCCCCTGAATGACAGCCTGCCAGTGTCTAACTACAGCCAGCTGAGCCCCGAGGCTGACAGGCTACTTTATGAGAAGAGCTACCTGACTGAGGCTGGGCTTCAGCCCGGGGCAGATCTGCAAGTGTGTCAGTCTGCCTGTGTTGAGGGCCAGGTGCAATACCAGAGAGGGTCCCTGTGCACAGACAATGGCAGGCTCATCAGCTATGACTCAGTGGGCTCTCTGTCAGCCTCCTCCAGCAATTACAGCTCCCTCAGCCTCAAGTCTTGTGAGCGAGAGGGTGAGGAGGAGGGCCGAGACAGCTTCTTAGCTCATTGCAGTCCTAAAGTGGTGATTCAGCAGAGTGTGGATGCCCTTACCCCACTCAGGGAGTCCTCAGACCTGCTGGACATCTCCAACTTCACCCCTGACAAGTTTAGACACTCATCACTGTCAGAGCTTTCCCCTCCTGAAACCCCCAACCTGTCCCCCCAGGTGGTGGGGCGTGAGATGAAGATGGCAGGGAATGTTGGAGAATACCAGGATGTGAATGATATGACTATGGACTGCAATAGGGAGGTAAAGTGGAACTGTGACGTTATGCAGCAACAAGAGCACACAGCAAATGCATACACAGTGGAAGACAGCCAATTTCCGCTGCACAATTTTAACAGTCAGGATGTGTTATGTTTAGATAAAAAGGAGCTGGGTGTTACAGAATTTGATGAACAGACTGGTGAGATGTTGGCTGGTGCAAAAAGCATTAAGTCAAAGAGGAAAGGCAATTGCAAACAAACAGCTGCAGGTCAGAGCCCAAAGAAGGTCCGGGCTCCCAGAGCTCCTAAGTCAGAAAAGGTCAAGACGCCCAAACAAAACTCACGTTCCACCAAAAAGATAAAGGCCATGTTGGAGGGCAAGGCAGCAAAGAACCAGGCAGGTGGTTGTGGCACAGCCCTGACTGACACTAGTAGCACTGGGGACTGGTCTGGCACCGGCTGGTCAGAGAGCAACAGCCTGGTAGGGGATGACCAGAGAGAATTCGAGGAGCCCTCCAATATTCTGTCCAACATTGTATCTGGCATGGCTGAGGTCCAAAGGTTCATGATGGCCTCCATTGAGCCGCTGTGGAATCCCATGTCTGAGGCCTGCATGCCCTCTGAGGCCAATAGCCTCAACCTAAAGACCCTCAAAATCTTGGCAGGCACAGAGGCTGACCTGAAGAAAAAAGGAGCTGCGCTAACAGGGGCTGGGAGAGGCAGAAAGGCAGGGGGCAAGGGAGGAAAAAACCAGGCCAAATTCAACCCCTCTCATCCCTTATTCCCTCAACTAGCTCTGGGCTGTAACATGTTTGATAAACCCAACTTTATTAACCCCGGGCCTGCACACAAAAAGCTGTACCGTCACAAGACCAGTGCAAAGTTCCCTCGGATTGAGACACTGAAGGGGAAGCGAGCTGAGAGAGACCCAAATAAGGACATAGCACTGATGACCTCTTTTGAGAAACTGAGGTAATATTTTGTTATCAGCTGCTGTTGCACCCCCTTCTCACTTCCCCCCACTACCTGCTCAGCCCTCCCTCCCAAGCATACCTACACTGACGCTATGCCAGAGCTGCATGAGTACTACGTCCCCCCTGACTACTCCCACTTCCTTTTAACCCCCCACCCCCTACCCCGAAGAGGAAATTAATATCTGCATGAAAAACTTCTTGTACTTTGCAAACTACCTATTGAGTGATTGTGTCAAGCTTGATTGAGATTTGAAACGACCATGGCTGCATTTTTCTTGCTTTTGTTGTTTCTGCTTTGTTTGTTCTTCTTATAGTCGTTTTTGTTTTACTTTTGTCTGAAAAAAAGAATAAGCCTTGAAAACAGTTCTGTCGCCTTTATGAGGAACTTTGTTTTTGTATTTTCTCAGCAGAACTAGCTCCCCCGAATTATGTATTTATTCCCCTTTTCCCTAAAGATGTAGCTATATACACAAATGCATTGAGTGACATCTACGCACCCCTCCTCCTCATCTGTTTTTGTATGCAGAATATGGATGTCCTGTTGTTGCTGTCCTTCATACACTGCCTGGCTCATTTCAAGAGGGAAACCTACGATTAATGAGCCCTATTTAAGCCCAAGACATCTTGAAAACACAAGATGGGACCATTTTGTATTGATGACATATCAGACGTTGTCTTTTTTTCCCCTCAAAGTTGGAATGACCCCCCATTTCCTTTTACCAAGCGTTTCTTTTTCTTCTGGAGTTTAGAAGAACTGGTTATCTAAATTTACATTTTTACACCTTGCAAATTCATAAAAGCTCCACCCTCAGAGTATTTTTGTCAATGTTGTTGTACAGGGACATGCAATATTTGCAAAAAAAGATGATTATAATCTTAAAATCAATGTGCCAAAAGTAACAATGCTGTGTAAATGACCTCTTATATATGTGTGAATATTGGCTGTTCCTCTTTTGTATCCATTGGAGTATTGGCTGCTCGGGTTGGAGACTCCGTACAGAGACTTGCCACTACAGGAATTCTTTATTTGGGACTTTTCTCTCTTCTCTGATGAAAGGCACCAACAGCTGGCAGTGGTACACCGCCACTCACTAAACCAAATCAGAAAGACTCTGAATTCTCCTCGTTTCCCCCACTTTGTTTGCCAAATTCAATTTACCTCAACATCACCTGGCACTGAGAAGCAACAAAAGAGAGGCAAAGGGGAGATCTGCTCTGAAGGCTACTGTAGAGGAAGAAGATGAAAAAAGAGATGTTCAAACGAGCTTTCTCTGGACCAAGGAGAGTATAGTGCAGATGTTTGAGGGTAAGCAAGGAAATTATTTGCCAGTTGGGGCTGTGCCTCACTGAATAGCTGTTTTGTACTGGAAATTCAAGGCAGTTTATTACTCATAGAGATTCTGATGCACGCATCAGTCGTGAATGGAAGTTACATTTTTGCAGTTAGATTTAATGTGAATGTGAAAGCAGTTTTCAGTACAAATGGAATCAGTAATCTTGTAAATGAAGGAAAGCATGTCTTTGCATTAGCTCCACATGGGAATCTTACTTCAATCTTACCTGAAATGGTAATTTAAACAGTAATTTTTCTTGACATTCTCATGTAATTTATTTCTTAACTATGCCATAGTTTAAGTTGCACCACTGATGTAATCAGATTATTTTGGTTCATTTCACATATAATGTCTAAATTTCACTTCTGTCTTTTGAAGGTATTTTCTTTTATACGTTTTCCTTTATTGTCATCTGAGTTCTGATGGGTCAGTATTTTGACAGAAAATATTGTCACCATAAAATAAAGGCCAAATAAAGGCACAAATTAAAAAAACAAATGTATTGGTGCTATCTGATCCAATGTATTACCCCGGCTATTTATATGAATTACTTTGGGCTCATTCACTGCCTCACTATCCTGAAAAAAAATCCACCTTAAAATGAACCATACAATCATGTGTAATTGGTTATAAAATTTTTTGATTTTATATACTAAATGAATTTCAGGTGAAATTGAGCCCCCTTTGTGTCTTTTACAAATGTATACTCAAACAATAGGCCTATATTTTCTTTCTCTTTTGAATGTTGAATATCATTTTTAAATGTAGCAGTAATTACATGAGACTGCATGGAGATGTGCGGACAAATTGAAGCTTGATGTAAAAACAGGCCTTGTCACACTGGATATGGTAATTCTGGCGCACAGGTGATAGTAATTGATTGCTTGCATATGGCAAGAATCATAATCAATCTTTCTCTGTCTCTTTTTTCTCTCCTCTCTGCCATGATTCTTTGTTTCTTTTCTCCAGTGTATCAGGGTTAGGACCAAGACAAGCTGCTGATGGGAAGCTCCACATGGGCTGCAAGCCCATTTAGTCTGCCTTCTCTCATTTCTGCCTATTGTCAAATTGAATGTACTTCTCTGAGTTCATAGTTATTTTTCTTCTTTTTGTTTTTAAAATGTGCCACTGTTGAGCTGCCTCATGTTAATGGTGCTAAGAAAGCTGACAATTGTTTTGTTTTTTTGGTTTTGTTTTTTTGTTTTCCCAGAGTTAACAAAAAAGAAATGCAAAATAGATTAGGTACCTAACCCTCTTTATGAATGTATATTATAATGTTATGTTTGATGTATTCACTTCATGATTCTTTGACATTGATTGGAATTACTTTCGCTCTTTTCATTAAAAGATTACCGAGCTTTATATATACTGTCTAGAGTTGTTACCAGAAGGAATCTTAATGAACTCTTGACACTACAAAATCTTGTATATTTTTTGTGTGCCAATTTGTAACATATTTTGTAAGTGTATATTTTTCTTAGAAAGTGCTGTGAAGTATTTGTGTGTGTGAGTAACCTTTTATGCGCCTCTATGGGCAGTGGAAAGGAAATACAATGACAAGTTTCTGGTTTTAAAAACCAAAATATGAAAGTATCAACAGAAAACTAGAAATATTTACATTTTGTTGGGAGTTTTGTAATAAGACCATGATCTTGTTGTGAGAGTGTTGTGTTACTGTGCTAAACACAAATAAGCAAAGAAAAAAAATGAAAACCTGGAAAAAAAATATAATTTGTGAACAATTTGCTGTTTTATAGATTTTCATGTAAATTATTTGAGTATTATTTTGTTTTTTGTTTTGTTGTAACTGTTGCAAAGGTTTTAAATATTTGTGATCAAGCCTGTATGGTGATAATGTAATATTGGTAACTTGCTGAGTTTTGTAATAATGTTTATGGAGTAAATATACAAATTAAAATAAGATTTTGAATGCTGCTTTCTGAAGAGAGTTGGATTGTGTTTTTTACCACCTACCCGTTACTGTAGCCAGTAACTCAAAACAGTAAACATAAAATCTCACTTTTAACTTCTCTGTAGACAAATTCAGTCCATTGAAAATAATAATTGAGATGTTAGAAATGAAGCAATACCCCCCACCTCAATCTTTGTGGTACAATAATAGTAATAGCTAAGAATAGAATCTGTTAGGTTTTAAAGTTTATTCTTGCCACAAACTGTGTACGTATAAATACTACCTAAATAATTCTAGTTAGTCTGTCCTGATTTGTTTTATTGGAAGATTCTTGGATGAACGGCATTTTAATTTCTACACAAGTCTGGCTTTGGCTCATGTTATTTTAATGTCAAATCTAATTAGCACACAGGGTCAGGCATTGCTAGAGTGACTGCTCATCCATAACTCTGAGCTGGGCTGCTGTGGCCCACACTGGAACTCATTCTGGCATGCTTAATTGGAGCTGGAGATACTGTCTTAGACCATAAACAGATCCTCTGATGTATGCCTCCAAAATTGTCAGGTGGTATTAGCATTGTTTTTGTTCTTTAGTCACCCATAGCAGATAAGGGAGCAAGCAAATTATAAGATGGAATGTCTAATGCAATGGATCGGGTACACCTGTGGTTATTAAATGAAATCCTAGTTGTTTTGTCAGTGCGTGCTCACACTGCATAGACAGCTATAGACTTTCTCATTAGGACAATTGTTTGTCATTAGAGCAATTGTTTTATGTTTATTTATTTTTTTAATCATTACTGATTACTTACTTCTGCTTGTTTTTGTCCTGTACTTGTGTACTTATATGTAGTCAAATCACAAGAATCCACACACAACACAACACAACACATCTTTGTGTGGCTGGCAGATTAGTTCTAAAAGGAAGAAACTTATTAATAATACAAAACCTTTACAGGCTAATCTGATGTGTTCAATTCAGGGAACGGCATAGTGCGACTGCTAGGTAAATCCTTTTTTGTGTTAGAACAATAGCTTTAAGCTATTGCAGAGGCTTTCAATAACTGCCCAACTGTGGTTGCTTGCTATTTGTTTTGCACCCTGGTTTACAAATGGTCTGGAAGTAGATGCCACCTACTTCAAAAAGGGTCACCACTGGGTGTCTTCTGGCACACTGCTGTATCAGTACTGTCCCACCTACACCAACACAAAAGTCTAGTGCCAGCCTGCTATAAGCCTGTTGTGTTCCTTCCTCTAAACAAATCAGTAGTTTTACTTTTTAAATGTTTACTACTGGCTTTGACTCTGCTTTTTGTTTATGTTTTCACTTGGATGCATTAAGTAGGTTTACATTTGTAGATCAATATAAATATCCAGGTCTACTGTTACATATGTCATTCTCTTTATGATTCATTCACTTACTGTAAACTGTGACGGATTTTTGTGTACAGAAAATATTTTATAAGTTATATGTTTGCTATTTTTATACACTATTTTGTGCAAATTACTGACACAAAAACAGACAAAATAAGCAAAAAATAACAATTATTTCTAGTATTGTAACCAGAGAAAATTAAACCTCAATAGAAAAAAGTAGTTGCATGCATGAAACTGTTTAAAAAGAGTTTTGTCATCTTCATGATTTTATAATAGCTAGATTTAGAGATATTTTAATATTACACATTTTAAGATAATCTCCCAGACTTTTGTCAAAACATGTGGGACCCATGTTTTGTTTTTTTTATCTTTTATTTTATTTTGAATGTGCCACCACAAATTGTTTATCCTCTGACAATGTGTAAGGAGTATTTACTATAGTTGTACCTACATGATGACCGAGCAGAAATAGCCTATTGATTAATGGAGCTTGACAATTCTTACAAGTTCTCACTGATGCCTGAAAAGGAAGTGACAAAAATACGTGCATGAGACTACATACACCACTTCCTTGACTAATATAATATACTATATGCTACACTATGTGCTTTTGTATACTGCGCACAGCACCATTTGTTTGTCATTTGAACATCACTATCAGGTATTCTGTCTATAAATTTGACCATCTGTAAGCTATTGCAACAACAGAATGGAAACACTATAAATCGTCACCGTTACAATGATAATGACATAATACTATAGTAACTATAAAATACACTAGTTGCTTCAATTCATGATGTGACATTGGCCTTTGGATGCTAAATACCAAGCATGCTTATGAACACAAGTCAGATGATCTTATTAAAATTACATTCCGGGCCATTTAATCTTGCAGATCTTTGTCCTATAAACCTGCATTCTGCACATAGTAAGAGAGTATTTGCATTTACAACCGCATCGTGACGCTACAGCTGAACAGTGACACACTGTCCAAAACAAACATCCTTTTCCTGCAGCTCGTCTCGGCGGCACCTCTGTGGCCCCGAGTCTGGTCTTTCAGGCAGCTCCACTTCTCAGGCTGCGTGCAACTTCACCCCGCCTTCAACATCAACCAGCCGGCCCCTGTGCCTGTGTTCTTACCTGGGAGCTCCGACTGAGGGTAAAAACATGCGTGTTTTTTTCTCGGTTTCCGGAAGATCTTTGTAGCCTTCCTAAAAGAAAGAAAATGGAATCCTGAAATCGCACTGAAGCTAAAACAGTCAGGCGCTTTCCGGAGAATATTAGAAGAACATCTGGGTTGTGCGATTACACTGCTACTAACACCACTGCACAGGTAATGTAACAGGGATGTGGTGACGGACTGTATATTCCTTCTGATTACCTTTTAATTTCAACAGCTAGCTAATTTTAGCCTGTTCGCTCTGGTTGTGAACGTCACTGGTTGACGTCGTTAGCTAGTTAGCGAGCGAGCTAGCGACGACGATGCTATCGGAATCGCCAATATTCATTTTATTTAAACTGAAATCCGCGTTTTTTTTTTTTTTCCATGGCTGTCCGGTAACAATACACACAAAGTCCATGCTTTTGTTTGAGCGACATTTATCCCACATAACGTATTTACATCCAGCCAACACATAAACACTAAGTTAGTGGCTACGTTAGCGTTAGCTGCTGTTTAAAACCCCCCAGTGGTACTGTATGAAGCTAACTAGCGCTAGCGCAGGGGAAGCTCAACTCCACCGGGGTTGTTTGCTCATCTGAGAAACCTTATAAACATGGTTTCAAACAGCAGCAGCGTATTGTCCGTGTACACTTTAAAACACAGTGGGGCCGCCCTTTAAAGCCGGTCGTGGTTGAGGTTGTCAGCGTTGGTAGTCGTGTACAATGCTAATGGCTAGCTACCTAGCTCACGTAAGCTTAGCTAGATGATGCCATTTTGTTTTTATCTCGACTTTGACCAACATACTGCTTTCCCGTAGGACTTATAGAAACACACAACCCGTCAGATTATTAACATTAGTAATACGTATGAAGCAGCCGTATGTAACGGTGTGTTGTAAGGTTACGGTAACCGCGATGGCTCAGCTGGCCAGTGTTGCGTTTATAGTAACTTAGCATGTCAGTTCGCTTTGTAGTGGACGTAAACCATGCTAACATTAGCCACTGGGTCGATGCTCTCTTGTAATGTTGACTGTGTCGCATTGTGTATTTTGACCCGAGTTTTTCCCCTTGATGACAATATCCTGGTACACAGTAGTGCGTTGATTCGGCCTTTACATTCACAGCTAACACGACTGGAAATACTAAAAGGTGTCAGAAGATACATTTACATGTGGCTTTGGTGATGAATCCATGTTGCACAATGCTTTCCTAAATCTGAGTAGTCTTACAACCTTAAGTGTAATACATAAATAAATGAAGAGTTGACAGACAGGGCAGGTCTAATATGTTACTGATATACATCTGACCTTTTATTTATTTATTTTTTTTGCTTCAGCAGCTGGATCTTGTTAAAAATTGGAGAACATCCCTCGACCTCTCCCCCCTTCTGAATCAATGGAAGGGTCTGACAGTTTAGAGCAGAGTGGCAGTGACCAGCCAGAGTCACAGCGCAGAAGGCAGCTGGACCGTCTGGGCAGGGAGGAGGCCTTCTATCAGTTTGTCAACAATCTCAGTGATGAGGACTATCGTCTCATGAGAGACAACAATCTTTTGGGCACTCCAGGTAATAAACCTTCAATCGAATTGCACTAATCTAACTGATTTAGTCTTCTTGTGGCAGAAATCTGTGGCTGGGAAAACGTGGATGTATAATTTTAAGCAACTAAAAGAAGTAATCAGTTTTATTAGAAAAAAGGAAGAATATATCACACAGATACCAGATAGTGTTTTTTTTGCGCATGTTTTTCCAAGAACTACATCCTCATTGTTTTTATTATCTGCTCTCATTTTCTATGCTTAGCCTGAGCATTTATTAAACTCCATTCCTCCCTTTCATAGTTTCAAACTGTTGGCTGACAAAAAAAAAAAATAATATATGTAGATTTCGACATAATTAAAGCAAAACATTATTAGATTAATACCCGGTGGCTTACTCAAAACTTCTATGCACACAGTATGTCAGGTTCTTCACAGTCAAAAGGCATCTAGTGGGGCGAATAAGTAGTGTCTAAAGTTGAGATCCAGAACAGCCATGTCTGGTCTAGAAAAAGTCAACATGCTCCTCACTTACTCACAACAAAACCATGTTATCTGTTATATACTGCAGCCCACGTGCTCCAGTGTATATATATTATATTTTTAAGTGTTCCTGGTGTAGAGTCCTGACATGAAGTAAGAATTTACTTGGTGTAGGTATTACTTCAAAGGTACTGCTCATCATAACTTTAATATTATTACCCAGCCCTAAAAAGAAGTGCCTAAAGACAGTTTACTGGTTTGCTTTTGCAATCTTTTCAATCATAATTTTATATTAACATTTTATCTTTTTATGACCTATTGGTAAATTATTTGTCCTCATCCATCTTTATGCATCTCCTACTTGCCCGATTAACATAATAAAAGTTAGGCTCGGGTAGCTACCTCTCGTTTTGGATGTGTCACTATGCTCGAAATGCAACAGCCTACGGACTACTGAAGACGCCCAATCCGTTTCTGTCCCAGGACAGTGGGAGGGGGAATTTTGGAGCGTCCCTTAGCGGATCACCCAGCAAGGAGAGGGCATTGAATGGACAGTGGCATGCCCTGGTAAGTCTGGAGGCTTTCAGTATTGTCCTGTTGCTGTGTTGAAAGAAAACAAAACAGCTCTATGGACCAATACAGTACAAAAATTAACACATTTATTTTTTCTTTTTTGACACGTGTACATAATTTCTGCAATATATCAGATTATATAATAATCTAATAAGATTTATATTTTTCACTTCTGTTCTGTAACAGATGTGTAGCTGTTTCAATGTGTCCCTCTGCCAACTTCCAGTCTTTCTATGCATTAAATAAGGAAATGTTTTGTTCTTATTGTAGGGCGTTACGCTTTCAACACCTCTGGGCCACCTGCAGTTTTTTCCTTCCAGCTTACATTGGTGGTCAGACTAGAGAAGAGGAAGTGAACTAAACGCCTAATAACCTTCAAGAGAGCAATATGTGCATTGCCAAAAATGTTCTTTTAATAACAGGCTGTTGTGTTGTTTTGAAATGTCTCTTTCAGGAGAAGTAACAGAGGATGAGCTGTTTAGTAGACTTCAACAAATCAAAGATGGTCCAGAACAGCAGAATAACAACCCCAGCACTGAAAGTGGTGAAGAACCAGTTGGTAAATTTGCCATTTCTTACTCTTTTTTTGGCTCTGGGATTTAATGTCAAATTCAGATATGATTTGTCACTTGTTAACTCTGCTGATTTCCAGAACCACCAGAAAACTCTGAGGATCCTGCCAGTGGGGATAGTCTCTTGGACTGGCTGAACACAGTGAGGCGCACAGGCAACACAACCAGGACTGGTCATCGAGGAAACCAGTCATGGCGGGCCGTAAGCCAGACCAACCCAAACAGTGGCGATTTCCGCTTCAGCCTGGAAATCAGTGTGAACCGCAACCTGGCTGAACAGCAGGCTGCTGCTGAAGGGGAGCAGGAAGCTCCAGAAGAGGCTGCAGAAGAGACTCCAGAAGAAGCTCCAGCCGAGACTCCAGCCGAGGCTCAAGCAGAGGCTCCAGCAGAGACTCCAGCAGAGGCTCCACAAGAGGTTTCAGATGAGGCTCTAGTCGAGGCTCCAGTCGAGGCTCCAGTGGAGGCTCTACAACAGGCTCCAGTGGAGGCTCTACAACAGGCTCCAGTGGAGGCTCTACAACAGGCTCCAGTGGAGGCTCTACAACAGGCTCCAGAGGAGGCTCTACAACAGGCTCCAGAGGAGGCTCTACAACAGGCTCCAGAGGAGGCTCTACAACAGGCTCCAGAGGAGGCTCTACAACAGGCTCCAGAGGTGACCCTAGAAGAGGCTCCAGAGGAGGCTTCAGAGAGTCAAGAAATGGGGGAAAATGCTGAACCACCGGTCCCCATGGAAACAGAGGTGGTGGAAGAGCCAGTTGTAGAAGAGTTGGCTGTCATAGTGGAACCAGAGCCTGAACTAGAAGAGGTTGTTTCACAAGAGATTTTAGAAGAACCTCCCAGCTCACCTGTTGCCCTGCCGGTGCAACCCCCGCTTTCTCCTTCTCCACGCAGAGGGCAAAGAAGAGCTCGCAGCCGCAGTCCAGAACCACGCAGGACTAGGGCCCGTACAGCCAGGAGCCGCTCCCCTCTCAACTTGGATCAGCTGGATGGTCTTCCTAATCCACGTCATGCTCACAGCTCTCAAGGCCCCCACTCTGCCACGAATGTCCCCCCTGTGCCTCAAGTGGAGGGCAGTTCACGGACTCGACAACACGTTCTTTCCAGGCAAAGCACTGCTGACAGTGACGTTCAGCCATCTAGGGGTGGTGCAGAACCGGTCCCAGAGGCCCAAAACATCGCATCTCAGGAAGGAGAAGCTGCTGGGGGGGAAGGGGGTGCAGCAGGGCGCCGTCCCCCTACTATTATGCTAGATCTACAGGTGCGTCGTGTGCGTCCAGGCGAATATCGCCAAAGAGACAGCATTGCTAGTCGTACCCGCTCGCGCTCCCAGAACTCAAACAACACATTTCTTTATGAGAGTGAGCGTGGTGGATTTCGTAGGACTTTCTCACGCTCTGAGCGTGCTGGTGTGAGGACCTACGTCAGCACAATCCGCATCCCTATCCGTAGAATCTCTGATGCAGGTTTGGGAGAAGCAACTTCAATGGCTCTCCAATCTATGATTCGGCAGATTATGACGGGTTTTGGTGAACTCGGCTACCTCATGGATTCAGACTCTGATTCGTCAGATTCAACCCGTGGAGCCAACACACCTGGGGATCTAGCTGAAACCCTCAACAACCCAGATACTACTCCTGCTGCTGCTCCTACTGCTGATGTTGATGAACCACCTGTGGCAGCTGGAGTCAGAGCAAGGACAGCTGAGACTGATGTGGATGAGGGCCTTACCACTGGTCCACCTGCCTCTGGTGGCAGGGCTCGGCCTAGACCATCTATTAGCCTTGAGGAGCCTAGCTCACTGCCCTTCCTGCGGCTTGCCCACTTCTTCCTCCTAAATGATGATGACGAGGACCAGCCCCAAGGGCTGACCAAAGAGCAGATTGATAACCTTTCCATGCGCAACTTTGGTGAGAGTGATGCCTTGAAGACTTGCAGTGTCTGCATAACAGAGTATGCAGAAGGTAACAAGCTACGTAAGCTGCCCTGTTCTCATGAGTACCATGTGCACTGCATCGATCGCTGGCTGTCTGAAAACTCCACTTGCCCCATCTGCCGCAGGGCTGTCTTGGTATCGGCCAACCGAGAGAGTGTGGTTTAGCTCATTAAAAAAAAATGCAGGTCTTTTGTCTCAACCTAAGTAATCTAATATCCCAAGTCCGAAAGAGGCTTTGAGGAAAATGTGGCTCCACTCTTCATCTTCATACCATTTGTGAGTTTGATCATATTGCAGTCACAGGTTTGATTTGGGGTGCTCCATATGGTGACATTGGGACATAGTCAATCTTCAGTAAGACATTATTGCAGTCCAAAGCTAGGCACAAGCAAAGCATGCTGTTTGAATCAACCTGTTGTGACCAAGCAGTTTTTTGCATTGCATCAAGCCGTGCTCACAAGCAGACTTCTATCTCATAAAGAATCCCCTGGTTATAAATGCTGCACACCTGCAGGTAGTTCAGGCACATGTGCTCTTTTGTATTAGCTCCTAAATGGCGCCTTATGTACCAGAAGATGGGTATTGGGACAGTTCTTAGTTAAACCAGTTCAAAGTATTAGTTGTAAATAAGCTTGTAAAAATAATTTTGAATCATACTTTGTATCAGTGAATTGGTTTTGGATTGTAAATTATCTCATATGAAGATTAGAGTGGTGTTGGCCACAATTACTCTATCAGAGCATCCCTAAATAGGTTGTGTTGGTGTACACAGCAGAGTTATTGCTAGATTGTGGTGTCCAAAGGATGTAGGACATTAATTGGTTTTCCATTTCCAGTGTGACTTGTACTCTCCCTTTTTTTGTTCACCTGAAAGAAACAAACTACTATTTTGAAGTGGCGGCATATACCATGAAAATTCTGTGTGTGCTAAATTGTTTTAAAAAAACAGAATGTTGTACAGGTATAAGGGAAAGATAAATCCAACAAGGTTAAGTTTATTTTGGAATCATAAAGCATCTTTATTTTCTTGATCATTAAAAATGATTGAGTGGTATTCATACCAGAAATTAGGGATGTCTCAATATTGGTAGTAGATATTGGGTTGATATCAAGTACTTGGCATGTGAATTTCCCCACCTCAAAAATACTATACTAACAGGCATGACATGTCAAAAAAGTTGAATATAGTTGCATTTGTTTTTTTTCCCACATGTAAAATGTCATTTACGTTTTAATGTACAACAATGATTTCACAATTACTTTGTCCTGTCATCCATAAGCTTACTGGTCTTACTCTTTATTTTTCCACAAACTCATTGGGTTGTCTTTAATTACTGACTGATGAATTACGTTCTATTAGCTAGTATTGCATAGAATGAAATGACCGGAAATTGACCTAAAATGAAATGTAGACTTGTCTTCTAAAGATCTCTTTACCTGTAGGTACACCTCAATGTACAAGTGGCAACTTAAGTTATTAATCCAAAGGTTTGGGTGTCAGACATTTACAAAGTCTGAGAAAAAAAAATTCACATCATTGTCCTTCTGTCTTACTAAGGCTCCAGTAGAAAGTCAAGATACTCGCCCTCTGTACCCTGCTGCCTCATGAGCAGATGCTCCATATCAGTGTGCAATACATGCTAAAGTGAAAGTAGGGAAATACAAACCATGATATAAATGTATGCTGTTGTTAAAAAAAACTGTTGTTAATGGCTAAAATCTTAAATGAAGACTTATTACCTTTTTAAAAATGTGTTGAAGTTCATTTTATTTTATTTAGAAGTTCTGTAGGTTTTAATAGCACTGTTGATGAACAAAAACACTGGCAAAGGAAGAAAAAGGGCATCACTATCAATGCCATCCTGTCATGTGTCTTGTTTCACTTTTTGATGTCTTTGCCACAATTATTACTTCCCTTTGTGGGACATAAAGGTTTGAATGCAAGACGTTGTCATTGTTAAATACCATAAACATGTAAATGAAATGTATGTTCCCCTCTCTTAGGCCATGCTTTAGTTTTGGCCTTGTTCTGTGACCCACCCAGTGCAGTATGTTAACTGGGTGTTTAATGAAACTAACCGCTGAATTAAACAAGTTGTTATGCTTCAAAATGCATTGCAGGTATGCATTCTGTACAGTCCCTGTGCTTTTGGGTACTCTTATTCTGCATTCAGGTGCACACATTAGTAATCACTTATACCTTATATATTAAACATTACAAATATACTTTTATTTCCATGTTTTGCTTTGATCTGACTGTTCATTGAGATGTTTTTAAAAATGTCATGTATTACACGGCCTTTTAAAGTTGATCCTGTTTTAAATGATGAGCGTGATTTATGGTGTGAAGTAGAGGATGGTTGGGTGTTCCTATCCCATCGGTGTTAAAGATCACACCTGTATCACATTATACAAAATATGTGTAATCATTTGCCACTGAACTTCCACCTGGGGAAGAAGTGTCCTTACTAGCACCTCCACTGGTTGAGATGGATGAAAATGAATTTCACACTGTCTGATAAATAACAATTGCCTTCATGAAGATGACCTTTTACTAGAATAGCAAGTATTGACATGGTCTTAAACAAGAATAACAACTAGTTAATCCTACAGCTAACGAACCGTGAAGGAGTGTTATGTTTTGATTGGCATACAGCCAGCGACGTTAAGTGTGTTTAATGTTAATGCTGCAGCACCAGGTACAGACACAGGCTGTTATTCAGTGTTGTATTGCAGCTAATAGTTCACAGTTCACAGAGGTGGAAAACAAGGAAGTGCCGGTTTCAGACTACGGCGAGGATGGCGCTTCGGGCAGTTGGGAGACATTTGTGGCACGTCCAGAGGGACTGTTTGAAGGTAATCGCAATGTCGTTGACTAAAGTTAACGCTACATCTACCGTCTATAGTCGCTAACACTCTTTTTTTTTAAGGAGCGAAATTGACCAATGTAGCGACAGACTTTCCATTAGACAAACGAAATACGCCACCTGAACTACCGACTTGTAAAATGGGCTCATATGATAATTAAAGTTAACGCTACTGTATTTATACTCGACTGTAACGTTTATCTATATTACGTTAGATATGTTGGCCCTCGTTGCTGGGCTACGTCAACGTTTTTGCTGTTCGGTATAACTACAGTAGAAGTCCACCTTTCAGATCTGTTTACAGGATGCAGCACACTTTGACCACTCAGCGGCGCTACTGTGACCAGGCGGCTCCCTGCACAGACATATATACTTGTGTGGTTATAATTCAAATCCAAGATTTTACGTTGATTTTCACGACTCAGTAAATGCACAGACTTTTATTTTGGAAATAAATCAACAAATTAACTTACAGTCCATTGTTTTTGATAAAGGCATAATCTGTCATTTCTTCAAGTAACGTTACAGCATTATTTGTAGTTCTAATCCCAATATTCACATGCTTTAGGTATTTAATTTCCCCCCACTGGAAGCTATACTATTCATCACTACAGCAAAATGCATAAATCTAATTGGTAGGTGTATTTAAAGTGGCTCTTATTTGGATCCCCACAATGTCTATAAAGTGATTGTGCCCCTGGTAACATGTCCTACATTGTCCCACACAAATATACTCTTTGTCCCACATTTGGTTTGTTGCAATCTGCTCAACCTAAGCAGTGCTGTATTGTATTATATAGTATTGTTGTTGTTTTTCTATCCCTAAAGTGTATTTGTTCTATCACGTATAGACTGTCTCTATCCAAACACTTGGAGTTGTCAGATTCAAAACAACCTGTCCAATTGAAGTGAGTCATTTGGATCATTTGGTTCTAACAGTGAAAAGTGTCCCAGACACAGTCAACTTTTATACTTCAGTCCTTGGCATGGAGGTCATCACTTTCAAGGTATGAAAAGGTGTTTTGTACATCAAATGTATTATTATTAGTTGTAGTATTGTGATTAGTATTAGTAAGATTAAGTATTGCTAATTAATTAGTTAATAATGTAAGTAATATCATTATATGTGCATTATTCACACATGGATCAGGAAAAGTAAAATACTCTTGTTCTTTTGGTTTGATAAACCATCCACTAGATGGCAGGCTTTGATTGTGTGTCAGCTAATAGCGCCACTCTCCACTCAGTCACTCATGAGAGACCTCGAGCTTTCAGACAAATCTCAACACCCACACATGCCATCTCTGCATTTTCAAGGGAAACCGTAAGGCTCTGGGATTCGGGCAGCAGAAGTTTAACCTTCACCAGCTGGGCCAGGAGTTTGATCCCAAAGCCAAGCATCCAGTGTCAGGCTCTGCAGACTTGTGCCTCATCACCAAAACCCCTCTGGCCACAGTAGCTGCACATCTGAAGGTCTTTTGTCTTGAATTACTGATGTCTTAATCTTGTAAAGTGACCTCTAGTCACTTTTCGTTACCATTTTGGGATTAAGGCGCCACTGAAATGCTCAGTTTCTGTTGTCTTGTCTGCAGGTCTGTGGAGTCGAGATAGAGGAGGGTCCAGTGGAGAGGACTGGAGCTGTGGGGGCCATCACCTCTCTTTACTTCAGAGATCCAGACCACAATCTCATCGAAGTGTCAAACTATAACCAGACAGCAGAGGGATGTTCTTGAGACATCTTTGACCTTGTTTGTGCACGTAAATGCATCCGATCACTGCACTAGTTCTGTCTGTTGGACCCACTTTGCGCAATTAGCTATGAAGATTGAGACCAAAATTACTGTAATTCAAACAACACAGGCCCTGCTTTCAGACTAGGGTGGAGAACATCAGTTAGCCGTGCAGAGACCTGTGTAGTACTGCAGACCAGAGGTTGCATTTAATTATGCGTAGAAAAGGCTAAAGAGTTATATGACCAAATGGGTACTTTTGAACAGTGTTTTTACTGTGTGAAGAAAAACTGAATCGATGCTTTTTCAGTGGAAAATAAAAAGGTTCTTACCTCTACTAAAGACTCTACTTTATGTCAAAAAACAGAAATAATAAACAACTCTTTATAATATGATAACCTTTTTCATCATGTCTTTATATATTATAAAGTTAATAATTGTTGTTTTTGCATTATACTACTTACTGTACAGCACTCAGGCTGGAAGCTCAGATAAGACCTGGAATAAGCAAGAGACTCCATTTTTCACTTATTTACCTCACATACAGTACTCACTGAATATCTAGAATAAATGAATATAAATATATATATATATATATATATATATATACTGGGAGAGAGACGATGCATAGTTATGCTTGCGGAGGAGTTTGTGCATTAAATCAAGTAAACTGGAGAGTTTCCAGGAAAAAAATAGCTTTTTCAGTTATAATCACTGTGTGAGCTGAACGGGATTATTGAGCTTGTCTTTGTGTAAATATGCAAATTCTGGCCTCTGTGTTCTCTATTTCTAGTATTTAATGTTTCTTAAACCTTCTGGGCGCTGGCATACATCACACCCAGTGCAAAAAACCTTACAAAGACAAAATAAGATAGACCAAATATGAGGTCAATAAGGGCATTTTTCAATAACCAGTTCCCCACTGGCGTATCCTCAGTATGGAGTATCCCCACCCTCAGTTGCCAATTCCCCATATTTGTTACTTTTCCTGATATAAGACGCACAAAAGTGCTAACAGATGTGTTTCACTGTCCTCTATTAATTCAGCGCATACGTTTTGTCTGCGATTGTATGGACAGAGTAAGGTGGGTTATAGAGGAAAGGGAGCATAATTTCTCCAGTTACTGACTGTAAACACTGGGGCTTACTGGCACCCATCAAACACAACCTGTTCTGTCATTGTTGTATGGAAACGCCATCTATGTCTTACCTATAGTATAGCTGTTGGAATCTAGACCAGGAATGCCGGCTCGGGGAACATTCCCCTTCCTCTGGCTTGATTATATTATATTTTTGACATCATGTCCAAAATATGTTTATTTCATTTTTTTTATTAGTTGTTTCATGTCAATTTGATCAACTTGATAGAATAAGAATGAAAAAACAATTCTGTTTTAAAATATTTTGGTTTTTTTTGGCAAAGGTCAAAGGTGCCCATGACTGTTGGTTGTTTGGCCCGAGACAAAAGATATGATATAAAATGATGACATATAAAACATTTATAGAAACTGCTGTTTGCATTTAAAAAGAAATACAATGCTGGTAATGTAAATATCAGACTGTTTCACTTTCTTTTAGTACTTGAACATTGCAGTGGTTCTCTCTCTCGGTGGCTATTGTGTGGTCTTGTTTGCTTGTGGGTGGAGAGAATCGCAAAACCGAACCTTCCCTTCCTTGTTTTTGAGTGTGTGCCAATACAAAGGTCTCCTGGTTATAGCAATAGGATATTTTTCGCTGTGAGAAGCTCAAGAGTAAGGTGAATTATCAATAGGGGAAAGGGAGCATAATTTCTCCAGTTACTGACTGTAAACACTGGGGCTTACTGGCACCCATCAAACACAACCTGTTCTGTCATTGTTGTATGGAAACGCCATCTATGTCTTAGCTATAGTATAGCTGTTGGAATCTAGACCAGGAATGCCGGCTCGGGGAACATTCCCCTTCCTCTGGCCTGATTATATTATATTTTTGACATCATGTCCAAAATATGTTTATTTCATTTTTTTTATTAGTTGTTTCATGTCAATTTGATCAACTTGATAAAATAAGAATGAAAAAACAATTCTGTTTTAAAATATTTTGGGTTTTTTTGGCAAAGGTCAAAGGTGCCCATGACTGTTGGTTGTTTGGCTCCAGACAAAAGATATGATATAAAATGATGACTTATAAAACATTTATAGAAACTGCTGTTTGCATTTAAAAAGAAATACAATGCTGGTAATGTAAATATCAGACTGTTTCACTTTCTTGTAGTACTTGAACATTGCAGTGGTTCTCTCTCTCGGTGGCTATTGTGTGGTCTTGTTTGCTTGTGGGTGGAGAGAACCGCAAAACCGAACCTTCCCTTCCTTGTTTTTGAGTGTTTGCCAATACAAAGGTCTCCTGGTTATAGCAATAGGATATTTTTCGCTGTGAGAAGCTCAAGAGTAAGGTGAATTATCAATAGGGGAAAGGGAGCATAATTTCTTCAGTTACTGACTGTAAACACTGGGGCTTACTGGCACCCATCAAACACAACCTGTTCTGTCATTGTTGTATGGAAACGCCATCTATGTCTTACCTATAGTATAGCTGTTGGAATCTAGACCAGGAATGCCGGCTCGGGGAACATTCCCCTTCCTCTGGCCTGATTATATTATATTTTTGACATCATGTCCAAAATATGTTTATTTCATTTTTTTTATTAGTTGTTTCATGTCAATTTGATCAACTTGATAAAATAAGAATGAAAAAACAATTCTGTTTTAAAATATTTTGGTTTTTTTTGGCAAAGGTCAAAGGTGCCCATGACTGTTGGTTGTTTGGCTCCAGACAAAAGATATGATATAAAATGATGACTTATAATACATTTATAGAAACTGCTGTTTGCATTTAAAAAGAAATACAATGCTGGTAATGTAAATATCAGACTGTTTCACTTTCTTGTAGTACTTGAACATTGCAGTGGTTCTCTCTCTCGGTGGCTATTGTGTGGTCTTGTTTGCTTGTGGGTGGAGAGAACCGCAAAACCGAACCTTCCCTTCCTTGTTTTTGAGTGTTTGCCAATACAAAGGTCTCCTGGTTATAGCTAGAGGATATTTTTCGCTGTGAGAAGCTCAAGAGTAAGGTGAATTATCAATAGGGGAAAGGGAGCATAATTTCTTCAGTTACTGACTGTAAACACTGGGGCTTACTGGCACCCATCAAACACAACCTGTTCTGTCATTGTTGTATGGAAACTCCATCTATGTCTTAGCTATAGTATAGCTGTTGGAATCTAGACCAGGAATGCCGGCTCGGGGAACATTCCCCTTCCTCTGGCCTGATTATATTATATTTTTGACATCATGTCCAAAATATGTTTATTTCATTTTTTTTATTAGTTGTTTCATGTCAATTTGATCAACTTGATAAAATAAGAATGAAAAAACAATTCTGTTTTAAAATATTTTGGGTTTTTTTGGCAAAGGTCAAAGGTGCCCATGACTGTTGGTTGTTTGGCTCCAGACAAAAGATATGATATAAAATGATGACTTATAAAACATTTATAGAAACTGCTGTTTGCATTTAAAAAGAAATACAATGCTGGTAATGTAAATATCAGACTGTTTCACTTTCTTGTAGTACTTGAACATTGCAGTGGTTCTCTCTCTCGGTGGCTATTGTGTGGTCTTGTTTGCTTGTGGGTGGAGAGAACCGCAAAACCGAACCTTCCCTTCCTTGTTTTTGAGTGTTTGCCAATACAAAGGTCTCCTGGTTATAGCTAGAGGATATTTTTCGCTGTGAGAAGCTCAAGAGTAAGGTGAATTATCAATAGGGGAAAGGGAGCATAATTTCTTCAGTTACTGACTGTAAACACTGGGGCTGTTGGAATCTAGACCAGGAATGCCGGCTCGGGGTAACATTCCCCTTCCTCTGGCCCGATTACATTATATTTTTGACATGTTAACAAGATGCATATGCTACTATTGTGTGGTCTTGTTTGGTTGTGGTTGGAGAGAATCGCAAAACTGAACACCTGTAATTCATCCTTATTGTGGTTGAAGGCCATACCTTGCTTTTGAGTCTGTCCTCATACAAACATTTTCTGGTTATGACAAGGGGATATTTATAGCTGTGGGAAGATTGAGAGGTGAATTATCAATAGAGGAAGAGCGGCCATCATTTCTCCATTTCCTGATGGTAAAACTTAACACTGAGGCTTATTGTTGTATGAAAAATTCCATCTGTCAGTTAGTATAGTGGTAGAGAGGAGGCACAGTTTCATCAGAGGTTTTACAACTATCGCATGGTCTTGTTTGCTGTAGGAAGAGAGAATATAAACCGTTCACCTATAATTCATCCCTATTATGGTTTATCAAATTCTTGTATTTACAATGTAAATATTTCCTTATATTATAAAACACTGCAATGCAGGGAGTGTCCAAAAGAAAACCTTCTCAGTATTGCAACATACAATTGATATGTATAGATAACGATCCTCAAAATAATTCCCATTTAAACTTTTTCCTGTTGCCTGGCTACTCAGAAAGTCCCTGCAGTTATTACTTAATGTTTTGCTTATTTGCAGTGTGTCACAGTTCCAGTATTTCCTTATTGCTGTAGTCACAGGAGATATTCTTATTTTACTGCTGTTCAGTAACAATTGTTCCTTCTCCTAAAATACCAAATTATTTCCTCATTAGTCAAAGTGGTATCAATGATGGTGTTATTCTTTTTATACTTCATAAGGAAATGTCAACCAAAGCAATAACTTTACATTTATGTGCTTTTTTCCCCCATTTATGGTAGCTGTGTGCCATTTGAGATAATATGTTGCCTAAAAATCTGTAAACCATCCTGTGGAGCCTACATCCTATTTTTCTTTATCAAATTGTTCTCCAACTGTCTTTATTGTTCTGAAACTATAACACAACAAATGTTGAGGATGACTAATTGTCACTGTTGCCACCTAAAAAGAGACAAAAATAGCTGAGGTTGTCTCCTCATTAAAAACTTTGTTATGTAGAGTCCAAAAAATAGTTAGCAAGAAAGCTTGTACACACATGACAACAAGCCCCCATGACAACAGAGTGGACCCATATATGGTTATATTTGCCTAGTAACAGAACTTTTGCTCCTTTTTCTAGTCAGACATACAGAGGGGTAATGAGACAAAGTTTAAGTCATTTTAAAAAACTAAAAAGATTCAGGGCTTCTGAGAAAAAAATGTGGAGCCCCAGAAGCTGCCACCCCTCACACATAACTTAGACTGTGTTCAGATGACACTTATAATTGATGTCATTTCCTCCATTGGTGATTTGTATTCATCCAGTTCCATTATAAATAAATGATCATTGCAGCTGAGTACGCTTTAAAGAAAAAGTTTTCCTAATTTTTAAACCTCTAAAAATACATATACCTTTGAACTATCAGCTGTAAAGGGATCTTGGGCCAAAATTTAAGAAGAACCATACACATTTGCCTTTGTTCATTTAACTGATACCAGGTCTGTGAGAGCTGAGAACTGAGAACATTGTGCTGACCTTTTTTGTTTGTCTAAAACCTGAGGATACAGCTGATCAATTCCTGCTTTACCCAATCCCAAGCAACAAAGCACAATAGTTCACTTGTTCACTTAAAAGTTTATAGTTTCATCTGTGGATGTGAAGCTCTAAAAACAATTAAAGCGTGCATTTTTCATTTCAAAATGTTGTGTCGCAGAACTGTACTTAAAGTTTTATACATCCCAAAGATTTCCATATAGTGAAGCGATCAGGTTGAATTACAGAGAAAAGTGTATGAAATAAAACAACAATAAACATTCTCTCTATAAAATGAAAATAAGATTAATTATTAATTATTTCAGTTACTTCCCCAGATCGTCATTGTTGTCCTCTGAACCTACTGTTGTGTGGCTGCTGTTAGACTTTGCCTGTTTATATTTGGAAAGACCCACAAGTCGTTTGACTTAATGATAGACTAATTTCCTTCTTCTTTTGTACTTGATTAACTTTTATTAACACTTTGCACAGCACTTCCTTTTGGATTCCACACACGTAGGCCTGCCCAGACAGGGCCAAGACGTGTTGGTTTCCTTCTGCCCCATGCTGGACTGAGATGGGCAGGTCCATGAAATGGAGCCCTTGTTTCTCCAATTCAGGCATCCACTTCCTCCTGTGCACTTGTTCCACACATTAACTTAAGCACTACATATTGGAATGAGGAAAACAGCTCTTTTTCCCCATCACTGCTCCACATTTAAAACTTGGCTGCTCAGTTTTGTTAGCACTCCCGTGCACCAGTAAAAAGCTCCTTTTAGTGGTGCAACTTTTTTTCTTTTACTCGAATTTCCTGCTTCTTTCAGTTGAAGGACGCATTAATGTTTGTCCTTTGTCATGAAAACTGGACCCCAGACAGCCACCTGGTTTAAATGATTAACTGGCACTGATGAACCTAATGACAGACTAATGTGACTTCATTAGGCACTAAGTTGCATACAAATACAGCATCTGCAGCTCAGCAGGGCTTACACTTGTTGTTGCTTTCATTTTTAGTCTGTGTTTAAATATGTGGTGTTAAGTGAAAGTGATGTCAGTATTTTTCCAGGTCAAAAAGAACACATTCTAGTTTTCTCACAGTTTGTTTTTGAGTAGTTTTATTAAAATCGAAATACACACAAAATTTGCGACATTTGTTTAAATGAACATTTGAACAATCCATAATTTGGCACAAAAAACACAGTACAGTACTTTGCACTATTCATATCTATATGTAAAATATTGATATTTGAAAATTTTAGATCAATAGATAAATATTCCTTCATTTTCCCGTTGCAATATAACTAGAAAACTTTATACAACTTATATTTATTTTCTAATGAAACAAAATAATATAGAATAGAATAATACAATAAAATAAATTTGCATATTGTTCATTAGATAAATATGTCCTGACATGGCTCAACTGACATTTGAAAAAGAGACATAATTGTGTATAGTTTAGTGGCCTATAGCTGCTTTTTTATGTAACATCTTTGTATTGTATTTGGACATGTGATATTCTCCAGAATTGATTTGGATAAATGTGACATTTTAAATACATTTTACAGCAAATGTTTAGATAAAATGTATCTAGTAGTTTATTTATGTACAATAAGTTCTGTTTTGCTGTTATTGTATGTGTCATGTTCATTGCAGTTGTGAGAGAAGGTCCCTGCAGTCCCCGAGTCTGTCCAGCTCCTCCACCACATCAACCAAGTTCTCAACCTTCTCTGAGGGAAGCACCTCTCCTGCGTTGTTTCTGAACTTTTTCCTCAGGCTCTCATTGGTCAGCGGGTTGCGCCAGTGACCGTAGAAGGTGTCACAGCGTCCCTTCAGAATGTCTCCCCCCACAAGTGACACCTGGACTTCGCCATACATGCGGTTGAAATTAGCTGGGTTGTCCTGGGGATGCTCCACGCGAACACGGCTTAGCAGAGCGAGCAGGTCAGGGCGCATTATGGCAGCAGGTGTAAAGGACTGCACTGTCACCTCGCCATCCAGGAGAGCGCTGCAAGCATTGAACTGGAAGGAGTGGCGTGCCTCGTGCTCAGAGTCGGGGAAAGGCCTGTTGATGTACTTTGATTTGGGGACTCTGAGCAGGATGTCTTGGACTTGATCTGGGTGGACAGTGCCAGGCCCAAACCCCACAAGAATCTTATGGACCGAGGCCGCAGCATCTGCCACCCAGTGCATCCCCAGATGGGCAGGGAAGCGCTTAAAGCCCATGTCCTGCTCCTCTAGCAGGAACCTATGGCCATCGTCACTGGGTGACTTTATAGGCTGCGGCACATAGTCTTCATAAAAAGCACTGAAGCCAGCCACCCCAGCAACAGCATCCAGGACCAGAGGACTCGCTTCTAGGCCTCGGGAGGCCAGCAGAGCAGCCTCCAGACCCAAACGTGAGGCATTACCAATGTGGAGGGGTTTAGCCTGAGTGGCAGCATTAGCCATTGGGGCTCCAGATAGAGAAGCAGCTATAGCTAAGGCATGACTGCACTGGGAGTGATCCAAAGACAAGAGGCGAGCACAAGCGGCTGCACTTCCCATGGTCCCCACCACACTGGGAGGGTGAAACCTGGAGATGAGGGAGACAGAAAGAGAAAGAGAGACTTTGGTCAGGTGTTTTGGAACAATTTAACCTTGCGACTCCATCATTGTACAAACAGCAACTCTATTACGTGACTCTCCACATGCAGAGACTGCGTTTTTTTCAGTCTGTCTGTCCAATACTGAAATGACTAGTAATTTTTTTTCGTCATTTCAGTACTTGATAAACAAGCAAATATTGTGGTGGGTCATTTCCCTTGGTGTAAACACAGGCCAAATGGAGTCCTTCATGATATTTGCCTCCACATGGCTAATTATGCACTAACCACAGAGCCACTCAGAGACAATCATAATAACACGCCTTTAACCGCTCATTGACACCACCAAGAGACTGCACATTACACTGCCCCGGCCTCCTTGTAAACCACATTGCAGTGATCAGCAGAGTCAAATGTGGATCATTTTAGGCTTGTGTGGATACCTGTTCTCCACATAGAATACAAATAAAGACTCTTCAGCAAGGGGCTGGCTTTATATTTGTTAAGTGATCACTTAGGGAGACCCAGTAAAGTGCAAAAGCACTGCAATGTTGCTATTACTCTATAAATGACGTCTAATTTGACATGTGCTCTTAGGCACTCACCTCTTGGGGATGTTGTGGGCCTCATTAGAGAACCTCATCAGTCGGCCCTGGATCTCAATGCCAACGTTGAACGCCAACAGGAAGTCTAGGCCACTAGGTTTGCTGTTAGCAGGCATCATATCACTGAGTGCTAACACAGCAGGAAGAACTGCTCCTGAGGGATGAGTTGCTGGGTGCCATGTATCGTCAAAGTCCATGGAGTGAGTCTGCAGCAAAAAAAACCAAACAAACAAAAAACAGTCAAATGATTGTTATGTTTCTGTGCTTCATGAAACAACACAGTAGTTAGCTGTAAACAAATTTTATAAATGGGTGCAATTTAGCTCTCTTCACTCATCTCCTTTGTCTGTGAATTAGAAAACCCCTTTAATTGCCATAACAGGCTTCAACCACTGGAAGCAAATGTAGGCTGCAGAAATGAACTTGACATCCTGATAGCTTCTTTAGACATTCTGCAGACATTAAGTTGGAAATTTCCACAGTCAGTTCATTCAACACCCCTCCCCTGTGGTTGTATGCCCAGACACAGTATAAAATAACTGTAGTTTGTTTGCGGCAATGGGTTTAGTGAGTCTGAATTTGTTTGGTGTTTTGGGGACGATGGTGACCCACCCTTCCCACCTATTTTTACTCACCGCCACTCCATTGACGAAAGCTGCTAGTGTTGGGGAAAGTCTTGTGCCCCTGCGTCCGTACACGGAGCTGATGTCATCAGGAGCATACATGTGCTGGAAGAGACGGGTAAACACAGGGCACTTTACTTAAAAAAGGTTCTGGCATATCACTCTTCAGATGACAGCTGAATACATTTCTTTGTAAGTCAAACACTTTGGAGAAAAAGGTCACTCATCTGTCCACACACCGCCATTGCGCTGACTTACAACTACTGTTTATATAAGGTCAAGCAATTGCTTTCATCTGTCTCATTGCCTCATATCAGATATGACCTAAGAGCATTTTTTTTTTCTTTCCCCTGTGCCTCACCTGGCAGTGCTGCAGAGCCAATTCGAACACGTCTGTTGTGCTGCCAATCAGACCAACTCCAATGCTGTCCAACACCATTCTTTTGCTGCGGTGGAGTACCATAGGAGACAAGTGCTGAGGCTTTACTTCACTGATGAACTTCCCAAAGCTGGCTGTGACTGTGTCCTCAGGGGCCGGGTGTTTCAAGACTGCAAGGGGAAATAACAAAAAGGATGAAGGAAAGAGTAGAGTAGTATTTTTTTTGACACATACAAAATTATGAAACTGAGAGAAATATGTCTTCTTGTGTTTAGACAAGTGGATGGAGCTAAGTTAAAAAGTTAAGTTTACCTTCCACTGCAGACTTATGCAGCCCTCTGACAGCCCATACTGGTCTAATGATTTTCTGTAGGACAAAAAAGTATAGAATATATATAAAAATATATCTTTACTGACACCTGTAAACCACTGAGCGTGAACACATGCAGTGATTTTCTGCCTTTTCTTTATCAGACTCAAATCTAATTAAATGCCTTTTAGGACAATAGCATCACTATAATGAATATTACTCCTGCCTCTTTTGAAAGATCTATTGTGCTGATGAGGTGGTTCTGTAACAGGTGTGGTACAGTGTGGTACAGTGTGTGTAATCTGCTCAACATTTAACAAGAGCTCTGTTAAATTGTTTTCTACTGTGTACTACTGTACAAAAAACACCTACACAGTGCAAGGTATATTATAATATTAGAGTTTTGTACTAGATGAAGTCTAGTTTTAAGCATACTCAGAAATTTTGCATGTAAGTATGAAAAAGATTTATGCCCTTTATTACAATCTGGGGTGTATAGATTCCCATTAATCTAACAGAAATTGGCCTCCTAAAAATATCTTGAAATCTTTACCTGTAATGTGGAGATCATGGTGTAAGTCAGTTGTTTCTCTTGTTGCTCTTCTCTTCTCTTTCTGTTTGATGCGGTAGGTTTGCAGTCAACAGGTTGTTGAAGATGCTGATGCTTCTTGGATTGAGATTGTCTTCCTTATATAGTGGCTCCTGACAGAGGCCTGGGAGGAACAGGGAAGCACAGCTACAGCTCTAACAAAAACATATCAGTTTAAGGAGGAATTTCCACATTGGACATTGCCATCATCGTCATTACCAGCATCACTTTACTCAGAAGAAGAAAATGTGGGAGTGGCAGTGTATGATCCAAGGTGAGCAATGATGTCACCTATCATGTTGCAGACTGTAGTGGGGGAATTTTCTTGAACTCCTCCTATGCCCCCTAAAGCCTTATTTATGACAAACTTTCATCCCTGCTTCAGAATAACTCCAGTTCTGTCTGAGCATCTTCCCCGGTAAGACTTTATTTTAATTTGCTTCATTACTTGCTAGCACATTATTACATGATATAACTTTTAAAATGCTACATAATGAATTGATGGTGATAACATATTTTTCACATGGGCTAAAATATCTACTGTTAGTTGAAAGATGCTCAATGGCACAAGAAAAAATATTACAATGTAAAGTTATTTAACAGAGATTACCAAAATTACCACTATGAAAATGTCTAACATGACAAAATCAAAAACAGTGCTTGTCTTTTGGGTAAATGTCAGTAAATAGAATTCTTAGTTAGGGATAAAATGCTTACTAATGAAAACATTTTCATGACTAAACTGCTGTCTAGTCATAGAGCTTGAAAGTTGAGTACAGCTACTCTTCTATGTCTTTGTGTTAGCCCACTTACGACTGGGCAGGGCCACAGACTCTCAGGTTTCTGTACATGTTTAGGGAGATAAGACAGAAAGGTGCATGAGAGAGTAGAATTGTCCCATTTGACTTAACTGAGTGTTTAGGACTTAACAGTTTGTCCAGTGTCCTTGAAAGTATGAAAGTTTTGTAATTTTAACTGTTGTGTTTTCAAGGTTAGGAATATGCTTCAGTTTTAATAAAGTCAGCAGGAAGATTTTTGATTTTAAACATAATCTTGCGTTTGATCTACATAATCACTCATGCAGACCATTTTTTTTTAAATCAAACAATCCTTTTTGTTGACTCCTGGTGTGTTTACTCTTCATTCATAGCTAGATAAGTACTGTGTTGATCCCTCTGGAAATTTTCCATCCATCTGATCAGAATCAGAGCTGATAAGAAAAACAAAATAGCAAGCATTTCTGCCTGTATTCAATATAACTGACAATTTAGAGATGGCAGGAAGGGGATAAATAAATGGGGCAAATGGGATGCATCAAATGTCCCCAGCTAGAGTTGAACAAAGGATATAGTGGTCAGTACACAGCATCTCAATCTCTAACTGACGTATTGAGGAAAAAAACAAGTTCAACAAATAGCAAGTAGTTCAGTAGTCTAGAAATGTGTGGTTTAGGTACCATGAAAGTGCTTGAATTTTACTGTACAAAGCTGTACAGACCCTATTTATGGTATATTCATGTTCCTTAAAGGTATTATAATTCGCTTATAGCCCTGTTTTTATTTATTTATTTTTTTTTTTTTACAGTGCTTTACAAATAAGGTATTAAGACCATTTTGCTCTGTGACTTGTTTGATGTTTAAAGAGGGTGAGGCTGTGCTTTCCAACTGTAAACAGTGACCTCTCCCTCTCTCTGAATATAACCTGGATGATTACATTCATACTTTAGCAACACAGTGATATTTATTCTTACAATAAAACAACCAACATTCAGACAGTATTCTAAATTTGTCTTTTGGATGATTTCTGCATTTATTACAAAATGTACATACATGCATGTATATACATTCATGTATATGTTGTCTGTGTCATTTTCAGTTTGAAACTGCAGTTTGACAACATAGACACTATGGCAACATCAGATGGGTTTCCAGCCAGTTTCTATGGTGAACCAGGAGTGTTAGGCATGTTATCCAATGGGATCAGTGCATTCCTCGTACTTCTACAGAACTTTAGTACAGCACACACTGGCAGTGAACCAGTAGGAGTGGAGAACATACTTGCAGGTAAAACTTAAAGAAAATCTGCTAAAATAATATAATAAAAGGTAATATAATTTGTCTTTGTAATTTGGATTCCATGTTTTCTTTATAGGTGTTCATCTCATCCTGATTGGTGGTATATGCCAACTGGTGGCCGGACTTCTTTCCTTTAGAAAATACGATCATCTGAGTGGCACTGCTTTCATTGGCTATGCTGCTCTGTGGGGCAGTTACGGTGCCACCCGAATCTACTTTGGTGCCTTCACTGAAACTCCTACAACAGCATCTTTGCCAGATTTGATGAAGACCAATTTGTCCCTGTCCACTAACATGACAAGCAACATATTCTCAAATTCCACCCTTTCCATAAAAGAGTCAGCGATCGCTGGTCTGGTCCCCTATATCCTTTTGTCCTTTCTCCTAGCCTTCTGCTCTGCCACAGTCAACTACATCATGCCTTTTGTCTTTGGGGCCATCACAGCAACCTTAGTTTTTGAAGCAGTGGGTCTGGTAGCAAGCTCTTGGGCTCTTGTAGTCGCTGGAGTTCTGGAGTTGCTCATTCTGATTTTTGCCATGTACGGTTCAGCTGCACTGCTCCTCAAAGGTCTGACTCAACGTCTTATCCTCAAAGGCTTTGGCACCCCTCTCTTTAATGTTCTTTTGCTGGGGACCACCAACTCAGCAAGTGCCCAGAGCATTGGCCAAGAGAAGAAGAAAAACACAAAATACGCAGAGCCCATGGCCTTGGGTTTCTTCTGTGACACTGTTGCTCCCTTCATCTTTGCTTTCTACAGCTTTGGGTACATGAATTCCTTTGTTGTAGGAGCTGCATGGGTCTCAATCATCACAGTTGCCCAGCTGTTCTCCAGCTACTACGCCCATCTGCGCCAAGATTGCTACCACACCACTAAGTTTGGTCTTCATGCCGCATATTGGTTGATCAAGGCTTGGGATGAGTTTGTGGTATCTGCTCTGGTTGTGGAGGACATTAAAGTTGTCTCAGCGAGGGAAACAATGGTGGGAGATTGGTTCTTTGTGATGGCAGGCTTTGTGCTCTGTGTGGGAAGCCTGAACACAGATGTCCTGGAACTGGTCCACAACATGCTGTTTGTCCTGCTCACAGTCTCAACAATCCCACAGATCCCTCTCCAAGGATACTACATCTTCTTTGGTGTAGCTTGCTCCCTGTTCACCGCAGCCTCCCTGTATGGAACCTTCTCACGTCTTATCAACACCATAGCAGAGAAGTCTCTAATCCCTGTAGGAACTCAGCCCATCTCCACTGACCAGTTGAAGAAGGGTTTGAACTGCTGCAGGGCTAGGGAGGGAGACGAGGAGGCACTGCCTCAGACTGACCAGGCTTCAGACGCTCTGTTCTATGTTTCAAATGGGGTTGCAGCTCTCTCAGCTCTTCATGCAAGGGTATCCAGTACAAATCTTGCCTTCCTTCATCTGACTGTCCCTTGGGTCCTCATCTCTGGAGCCATCATCCAGGCCTATGTCAGCCGGCTGCAAGTCACAGGAGGTGGTCGTTTCGGCTCAGTCATCTCATCCATATATGTAGCAGTATGGGCAACGTGGACCTGGTTTAGGTTTGCAGGTATGTCAGTACAAACATGTTTAAATGGAGACTTGCTCTGACTGAATTACACAAAATTCTGATCCCAAGTTTTTTTTCTTCTAGGTAACCTGCTCCAGTTTTCCACAGAGGCAGCCTATGGTTTTACAGCAGGAGCCATTGCTCTCCTGGTCATCAATGCTTTCCTTATGCTGATTGGTAAGGTTAACAAGATAATTGTTTTAAAGAAGAACTAATTAATTAAATTGTTTGTTTCTGAGCTTCTTTTCATTCTTCCATTGTTAATGTCAGCTGCCTATAGGAACCTGGTTTTGCTGTTTCTAACAGCAGTCATGGAGGTTGTTCTGGTCTGTTTCCTGCTTTCCACTTTACAGCGACTTCCATATCAACTAGAAAGTAAGTACAGAGTAGACGAAGCCTCATTCTGAACACATTGTTAAGGTTTTTAAATAGGTTTAAATTAAAGTCACATCTATTAAAAAATCCATCCACTTACTGAAACATTGTGACAACCTTTTCTTCACAGTGGTCATGCTTGCAGTCTTTTCAGCAATTTGCATATATGGAGCTCTGGCATCACTGGTGAACTGCATCTTCTCACAGAGAGTGCTGCCTATGGGCCCTCCATTGATAAAGGTAACCAATTAAGAAACTCCTTTTGCATTCCTCTGCTAATTCTGTAGCAGTCTGACATACTCTATCCTGATCATTTTATTAAAATGTCCCTCCTTCTGTGGTCTGTCACAGGAGGCAGCAAAGCTGGAGTCTGCTTCAGAGCTTCCCTGTCCTGTGGCTAATTCACGACTCACCAGTAGTCTCCTAAAGATTGCTGGACTTCTGGAGGAAGGAGGAGTATGTGGTATTCCCACAGACACTGTGTATGCCCTGGCTGCATCCTGCAAGAATCCTCAAGCTATAGAGAAAATCTACAATATCAAAGTAAGTATGAAAAATAAGCTGGAAGTATAATTTGAGACAGATCTTTAATTCAATTTCAATATTTTGTCATTGATGTGAAACTCATCAGCGTGTTATCTGTGACCTCATCCAGGACAGACCAGCAGAGAAACCCATCTGTATTTGCATCTCTAATGTGGAGCAGCTGGTGACAGCCAAGCCTCCCTTCACTCCTCTACTCTGGGAGTTTATGAGGAATGTGTATCCAGGAGGTATCAGCTGCATCGTCAGCAAAGGAGACTGGCTGTTCAGACTAGGTAAATATCACTGTAAATGCTGTGATTAAACAGTTTTAGCTTATGTTAAATAAACATCAGTGATCAATATTCAACTCACCTTTCAATTTATCTTGATATCTTTTTCTTGTGTAGGAGTGGGACCAGCTTATGACCGTGTTGGTACCAAGGACAGCATCATGATTCGTGTCCCTGACCACACAGTTACAGGCCACCTTTGTAACATCACTGGACCCCTTGCTATCACCT